GTTTGAATTCTATTACAGCTCCCAGATTTTCTAGTAGGTCTCTGCCCAATACGAGTTTGGATAAATTTGGTAAATACAAAAACTGATACACTCCCATTTGTTTTCCAATTTTGAACTTTAGGGGTTTCAAAAGAAAGCTTTTCTGATTGGCCAGTGGTATCCACGACTTAAACATATTTATCACTTTTAGGTATTAATTCAAAACAGAATATGTAGCCCTGGTATCAATTAGAAAATCTAATTCTTCTTTTTCTTCCCCTAGCTTAATTTTTACCAGCAGGTCCCCTAGCACTGGCCTGCCGCCCCCCCCTTCACTCAATACTCTGTAAGCAACAACAGCCTCTCCTGTGCCTGTATTTCCACCTGTTATTTCAGGGCATTCTTGCTTCCAGTGTCCCTCTTTTCTGCAATATGCACACTGGTTCTACCCAACCTTGTCTGTCGGGGAGGCAAACCTTACATCTGTTACACAAGGCTCATACATATAACTAACAATTGCAAAATTGACAAATCTTAACTCTAGGTCTTATCCAAAGTGATGTGCTTACAGTTAACTCTTCAGCACTACCTCTCATATAGCAACTCTTAGCATGATAATACCTTTAACTATGTGCTCCTGGATGTTTCAAGGTAAGCAAGATATATCAGGTACACAATAGCAATACTTGGCCAAATACAAACAAAACCAGACCAGAAGACTAGACCAGACCAGAGGGGATATTCCCCTGGGAGAGCGTCCTCTCCCGTGTCCCCCGCGAGACGGCGTCCCGCCTCGACTTATGGGTATCCAGAACCAGAATAAACAAAACCAGAAACCAGATACAAATACCTTTTATCAATAGGCAGTGTTCTTGTCCAGCCCCCGCAAGAAGCCACCGAAGAAGGGAGCCCCTTCGGGTAAAAAGACTTACCCGAGGGCACCCAAGGGGGTCCCGTCCTCCGGGGAATTCCGCAGCTGGGTGGAGAAGGTGTGCTGCCGCAGGTCGCCAAATGAATCCGAAAAATTGGTCCAAGAAACTGCTCAGAGACTTTTTATCTTTAAGCAGCAAGGTATTTGTTTATTCAGCGTTGGGAGCAAGCCAGCTTGTGCTGGACAAACTTGCTCAAAGGCTTCACACAAAATCAGCATTTTTATACAATCTTCAGATGTGATTAAATGCATATTCAAGTGATTGCAACATCTATCAATGCATATTAATAATAGGCGGAGTATAGGTGGAGCTCAGGCGGGGCTTGGGGCGGTGCTTCTCTTGGCCCCCAATTTTGGTGGGTCCGGGGGCTTAAACTCATCTTCCTCAGCTTGACCTTCCTTCTTTTCCATTGTTCTTGACCCGCTCACTGAAGCTTGGAGAAAGCCCTGGCTCCTGGCCTATTTCTTCTATTCAAATGTCTACCTTATCCTACTGCATTTCTAATTTATCACCTCTAGGCCTATTACATGTTCTTGTACTATTCTCTTAAGCTTTGGTCCAGTAAGTAGAACAGAACAAGCACAGATTGTTTTGGATGTTGGTAGCTTGTTAGCAGGCCCAAATTTCTTAGTTAACTCTTTTGGGCCTAGCCTCCTGTTTCACCTCTGTCCAGACCATCCCCTGGCCTCAAGAGAGGACACCAACCACCCCAGCCACCAGCCTCCAGGCCTGTGTCACCTCCATCCCTAAGAAATGCCACCCCAACCACCTTGTTAGGAGGTAGAGGTTATTAAGAAGAGGAATGAAGAAGTTTTCCAGGCTGTGGAAGACTGGGGAGATGCAGCACCAGCACGGATCAACATGGGAGCAAGGGAAGACCCCACGAACCGGTCTCGAGGTGGTGACCCTGGAGCTGGCCAGTGGGCTGCCTGGCTAGCCACAGGGTTAGCTGTCTGGTTGGCCAGGTTGGTGACTGGCCAGCTGCTTGGCTGGTGGTTGGCCAACTGGCTGGTGGGCTTAAAGGCCAACTGGGCGTCTGGTTGGTGATCTGGGTGGTCGGTAGCCAAGTGGCTCACTGGCAGTGGGTTGGCTGGTTGGGCTGGGTGGTAGATGGCCATGGGGTGGGCTAGCTGGCTGGTGGGTTGGTTGGCTCATTGGCCAGTTGATTGCCCATCTGGCTTGTTAGCGGGGACTTGGGCTGATGGCACCAGTTGTGCTGTCCTTGGGGCGCCCCATGGTTGGCGTGACGCGGTGGGGGTGCGCAGTGACAGCGGGGGACAGCGACGGGACGTGCAGGGGTGGCACTGGGGAGTGTCCTGCGTGATGACGGTGTGTGACACCCCAGGCCGTGCAGTGACGGTGACAGTGGGTGACACCCCGTAGGCCACCCGATGACATGGCACTATGTGACAGCCCCTGCACCAGGCACTGACGGTGACTCTGTGTGACAACCCACGGGAGCTGCAGTGAAGCTGTGCAGCACCGTGGGGCTGTGCTGTGTGACACGAGTGGGGCTGTGCAGCCACGGTGACACTGTGTGACACCCCGGGGAGGTGTGCAGTGACAGCGACACTGTGCCACACCCCAGGGACCGTGCAGGGACGGTGACACTGTGCTAACACCATGCAGTGACAGTGACACCCGTGACAACAGGCACCGTGCAGTGACACTGGTGACACCAGTGCCAAGCAGTGGTAGCACACTCAGACCCCCCTGGCTGTCCCTCCTCGTGGGTATTGAGCCCCCCAGCCAGCTCACACCTGGGGTAGTCCCCACTGGGGGATGTCACCCTGTCCCTATAGCCCATAGGGGGACATCTGCACCCCGTGGGTGTCCCATGATCGGGTGCTCCAAGGAAGGGGGGGGTCAGGAATGGGATGCACAGGAGAAGGGTTACACGAGGGAGGGAGCTCCAGGAAAGGGGGTGCGGTGGGAAAAGGGGTGCTCTGAGGAAGGGATGCACTGGGGAGGGGGTGCAGCAGGGAGGGAGTGCACCGGGGAAGGAGGTGCCCCAGGTAGGGGTGCTCTGGCTCGGAAGGGGGTGCAGAGGGAGGGGGTGCAGTAGGAGGAGTGTCAGCCTGTCACGAGCCCCCAGCAGCCGCAGCGGAGTCGATCCGGCCACTGATTTGCACAGTCAAATATTTGGCTTCGTGGCGCGGGGTCGGCTCTGCTTGAGCCGCCCTGGTGGGCGCGGGAGTGACGCTGATCCGTGATTGATGGCGGGACATGGGGTGAGCAGGGTTGGAGGTGTGGCGGGGCTGGGGGCCGTGGCACAGCACCCCTCGGCCTTCAGAGCCCACACAGAGCCCGCTCGGGGGGCAGCACCCGTGTCACGAGCGCGGGGTCTCAGCCGGGGTGTCCTTCAGGGTGCCTCCTCCATGGCCATAGATCGCGCTGTCGTTGTCACCCAGCCCACGGAGCTGAGCCGTCTGTCACCGGCGGGGGACACGGGCTTGTCCCTGAGGGGGTTTGACTGGGAGGTGGGAGGGGGACTAGGGACGCTGGGGCAATCCTGGGGCAGCACCCACAGCTGGACACCGCACAGCAACAGCCCCATGGCCAATCGCCCAGCTCCAGAGCCCTTCCCCGGTGGGTGCCAACACCTGGGCACGCAGCCCACATAGGGGGCTCAATCCCAAGCTCCGCCCAGAGCCCCTAAACCAGGCCCCCACCAGCCCCATGGACAGCCCTGTGCTTCACCATCCCCTGAAACCAGTCGCTCCCTTGGCCCCGCTAAACTCATTAGCCTGCGTCAGCTGGGCGGGAGTGAAGCGCCAAATGCGATTACGGCCCCGGCTCGCTTCCTCCTTCCACCCCTGGTCCCATTTATCGTGGAGGCGAGCGGGAGGGAAGCGGAATCAGCACTTATCTTGACCAAGAAATCCCGCTCTGGCCCTGATTTATGGCTGGCTGGGAGGGACTCTGGCAGCGCCGAACAGTTAAGGAGCATTGAGAGCAGGGAGGGGTTGTTTGAAGGGCTCCCCCCACTTCAGGGATGCTCTCTGGGGCTGCACAGTGACTGCTGGGTCTCTCCAGATGGGCGTGACACAGGACCTGTGGGTGCACTGCGGGGCTCAGGGGAGGGCAAAGGAGTGGGAAGGGTGTCTGGCCCCTAAAAGGGGCACATGCTGGCTGGGGACACTCTGAGATGGTCCCTGTGCCTAAAGGCTAGCACTGGGGACAGCCAGGACACTGCCTCACAGGGCCGAGCCCGGGAAGGAGGGTGGGAACATCCTGGAGACCACTGCGTGCAGGAAGGAGGGGTGGCCAAGGGCTGGCAGCACCCACCCTTCTCAAAGTCTGGGGACAAGGGGTGGCAGTGTGTCGCTGGGACAGAGAGATTTCTGTGAACAATTTTTCCTGCACTCTGTAGGCCTCGTTTGCCATGGAAGTGTCAAGCGTGTATTGTTTATACTTATAGACTGTGTGAAAATATGTGATTCTTATACTTGTTAGCTGTGTGTCTAATTATAAGGTTTGAAAACATAATATGTTTATAGAAAGAAAACCTTGAGAAACTGAAGATAATGAAACACCTGCAAATTTAGTAAAACCCTAAAAGCAGATTAATTAGAAAGAGGTTTCTATGCCAAGGATGATTTCAGATCGCGTGGACAGAACATCAGGTCCAATGAACTGGGGACATGAGACGCATGCACAGATTGAGCTAGCCAATCATCTTATTATGAGCATGTACCCTGAGCAAACTAAACTGTATAAAAGTTAACTGATTTAAATAATAAATTGACATATTGCCTGATCACATTGGTCTAAGAGCAGTCTGTCAGTGCCTCCCCATCGATAGCAGTGGACATGGGGGTACCCCAGGGGGAAAGCACTGGCACAGAGAACCACAGGGGGCCCAGGATCACATCCCAGGAAGCCGGAACTGCCCAGAGCCAACATGGATCCATAGGAATCCCCTAAGCTCAGGGCAGGGCTGACGCTTCGAGCAGCTCCTGGAGCAGCCCAGGGATGTTTACTGGGAAGAGCACGAGCGCCCGTCAGCTCTGCCTGCGTGTGCTGAACTTTACAGAGAGCAGCCATGCCCTAGCATAGAAAATTACCTGGGAATGGACTGGGAAGAGCTGCGGGAGCAGCCGCGGGAGCAGCTGCTGTTCAGTGTTTTATTAAAACAAAAGTGAAGAGCCAGCACCCGCCTCGCCCAGGCTCGGCTCTCCCGCCAGGAAAGTGCCGCCGAAGGAAGCTCAAACAGCAGGAAATGAGTCTGAACGAGGCAGAGCCCAGGTCTCTGCCCGCTCCAGGCTGTATCAGACCCTCGGATCCAAAGACAAGGGTGATCCACTAGCGATGGCTACAGAATCAGAGGGCGGGAGGGAGGAGAGCAGCCACCTGAACACCCAACCCACAAGAACGAGGTGCTGTCCGTCCCTCCCAGGCAGATTTAACACGTTTCCATTAAATCAATGTGAAAAAGGGGAAATCCCAGGTCTAAACTCGGATTAGGAGGGCTGAGCTGCAGGGGATCACCCCAGGGACATTGTTGGAAGGGACAGAGCCCAGGAGGCCACCTTTTCCCAGGGAAGAGATTGTCATGGAAGACATTAAAGTGGGATTGTCCTGTATTAAAGTTTGTCCTGGATTAAAGTGAGATTGTCCTGGATTAGAATGAGATCGTCCCAGATTAAAGTGCCTCAACTCACCAAAGTCCCACCATAGAGACCCACAGGGGGGACAATAAGAGCCTTCCCCCAGAGGCACAACTGGTGGGCAAGAACCTGAGCAGGGAGAAGGTGCCGGAAAAAAACCCCTGACTACATTCACCTTGGGAACTGTGCAAGGAGACACCTCTCGCTGCTGTCTGCATTCAGCTGGCAAAGATCATTAACAGAGGTGACCTTTTGGTGCCCTTTTCAAACCAGGGAATTCAGGCCCCTTCCTTGACTAAGAGAAAAGGTGAATTAGGAGATGAGATGCCACAGGAGGAGTAACACCAGCCCCCCAAGCCCAGCGATGGCCGTGCCCACCACCAGCCGGGCCCAGAGGAAATCCAGGGAATCTTCAAGGCGGGTGTGGAGCCGCAGTACCTGCCGGCAGGTGCTCTCCCTGTCCCCCGAGTTGTCGATGATGTGAGTTGCCCACTGGAGTTTCTCCTCCAGTGGGATCTGGGAGCTGATCTGGGCATCAGCTGTGGCCATGTCCAACCCGTTCCGCCTCATCAGCCGCGCACACTGCGCCGGGGGGTCACTGCCGGGGAGGGGGACGGAGCTCAGGTGGGGTGGGAGGGAAGGGGGGTCTGCCTTCCTTGGGCATGAGGGGGGATAATAAAGTGGGAATGAGAAACATTCCCCGTGTCATTTCTGCCCCAGCCATCGGATCAGCACTGCCCAGGATGATCCCGCTGTGTGTTTTTGGCACTCCCACAGCCCACAACACCAGGCAGTGCCCCAAATCCTGCCCCAGCTGATGGTGCACAGGCTGTAGAAGGCTCAAAGGAACAACATGCCCTGTATGATGGTGCTAGCTTCCAGGGAAAGCTCAAGAAGCTCCCTCAAGTGCACTAGGATAAAGGGAGGTGCCACAGCACAAACGGAGATGTTACTTCTCTCAACGGGTTTCACACCTGGGCTGTGGCTGAGCCCTCACCAGAGCAGAGAGATGTGACAGGCCCGTCTAAGAGAGGTGTCCCTGTCCTCATGGTTCCTGAGGCACTTACCAATAAACCAAGACCGTGTATCTCATAAACTTGGTCAACCCGTGGGTCTCGAAGAGCAGAGGGATGTCCAGGATCATGTAGCGGTATCCTGTGGAAATGGCAACACCCCTCAGAAAAGGGAACAGCGTTAACCCCCCTTCCCAAATCCCTCCTGCTACACACACACCATGGCCATGAAAAGCAAAGGAAGTGGGAGCTCTACAGCTCCACAATTGCAGCAGAACCCGTTTGCCCTCCTCGTTCTCGCAGGGAGGAAATGGTTTCATTCCAAGTTTCCAGTGGGAAAAAAAACCCCAACCCTAACGTGGCTGCTCTCAGACTAGAGGTGAAGCTGCAGAAATATAAGGAGGAGCTGAAACGAGGAGTTGAAACGAGAGCAGCAGCACCTGTCTGGCGAGAGCGGCAGCCATGCTGGGCTCTCCCGGGAAGCAGTGTCCACAGCAGGGTCTGCTCTCCACTTCTTCCCTTGTCCAAGACTTTGCCAGGCTGCAGTCATCTGAGTCAACCTTCCCCAGCTCAGTTTTCCTGCCTTTATGCAAAGCTTTGGCTATACAGCTCCATTTTTCCAAGGGGAACAAGGAAATCCTTGCAGACCTCTCGCAGCTGTGACACCAAAACATGGGTGAGCCTCTGGTCATGGCCCCAAGACTGAACCCTCACCAAAACTGGCCGAGTTTGGTTTAAAAGCACTGTCACCATGAGGAACAGAGCTTGCCACAGCCAGTCACTGTCCCCCCAGGCCCTGTGGCTCCCCAGTTTTCCCTGTGCCTCTGCCCTTGGCCAGCGCCAGCTCTGTGGCATCTGGGGAGGTGGAGATGCCCTGCTGAGCCTGGAGGAGCAGGAGAGGGGAAGGGAAAGCTCTAAGCCAGGACTTCACTCTCCTATGTGTGCCTCAGCCACAGAGACACCTCAGGTTTTACTGCTGTCCCCTCTTTGTAACCCAACCCCCCTAAAATCCATGGTAAGCAGAACCTGGACAGAGACATCATCCAAGGAGCCCCATTCCACCGCATCTCCACCCCCAGAGGCTTCTTGCTGCCCTCCAGTTTGATTGATCAGAGCTTTCCTTACACAGTGATCCTCAGAGACAACGTCCAGCTATCCCAAATCATTAAATCCTGACTAATGAGGACAAAGCTGCCTGCTGAAGCCACACAGCACTCTCACCGAGGGCCAGCACAGCATCCGCCTCCTGAGCCCGCAGCCCCGGGTTCAAGACTCCATCTCTGCCTCCCGGCTTTCCTGCCTGTTGCTTTCTTTGCATCCCTCCTCCTCCTCACCCTGCAGCAGAGCTTGGCCCCATGGAGCCCTTGCACAGGCCTGTTCAACTCTCACAGGGCTCCAGCTCCAATAAGCGCCACGGATCCAGACTGGCTCTGTGAAGTCTGTCATACACGGAGACCTCCGGAACAGCTGGTGATCTTATCTGGCATTTCTCCAGCCCTGCCTGACAGTTGCATTTGTTCCATATATTGGGGGGAAGGCAGGACTTTGGAACCCACAGCTGTCAGCCTGTCCCTCACCTTATCGGCGCTCTGAGGGCTGCACAGCTCCCACCAAGGCGGGGGGCAGGGAAGGATATTCGGTCATTTCAGGAGTGTGACATTATCTGGGGGGTGATCTCAGCACAGGCCCCACAAAGCTGCTCCCAGGCCCCACAGATACACTTTAAGCCACAGAGGAAGGCGGTGAAGGGCAGCAGTGAAAGGCAGGAGTGAATCAGGAATGAATGTTCCAAAGGCCACCACAGGCAGAGCACAAAGGCTGTCACTCAACGTCCCTTCCCCTTTTCCGTCCCTGTCCCTCTCCCCACATTCAGGGACAGCTCCTGCCCGAGAGGAGTCTCCGAGGGCTAGGACTTGGCCTCTTACCGAGCACAAAGTACTTCAGGATCTGCTTCAGCATCTCCTTCAGGATCTCAGGGTGGGTGATGGAGTTCAGCAGCCGCCCTTTCTCCGGCTGGGAGAAGATCATGTTCCCAAGAGCCTCGCAGTTTATCTCGCCATTGTCCAGGAGGATCTCAGTGCCAAAGTACCACAGGATCTGCTGGTGGGCCTTGGAGTGGGGCTGCACCACTGAGAACATCAAACAGACGGGGGTGAGGGCTGGTTTTACAGCAGCGTTTGCATCAGCAGCCGCCCCCAGATGGGGTTTGGTCATGAACAGATGGAGCTGATCCTCGCTGGGGCACCACATCTGCCTCCAGCACATCTGCCTCAGCACCAGCTCCTGCCAACAGCCCTCCCAGCCCAAGGTCCCTTGCAGGCTGACACCTCCTGGGAGATCAAAGTGTCCTGCAGACATTAATTCAGCACCACAACCCTCCCAGCCTGTGCTGCTGCTCGGGGTGACAAGTCAGCAGGGCGGGCAGGAGGACGTGGCCATGGCCACACGCCAGGGCAGGGGCAGGAACTGGGCTGAGCTGACTCCCACCAGTGAGGAATCAATCCAAAGGGACCAGGACCAGCTGAAAACCTCAGGACTACATGAACACACACTTCTACAACCTGTGTCTGGCTGCTGCTGAGGTGGTTTCTTTTACTGTTTTTGTCCTCACTAAATTCTTCAGGAAAATGAACACAAAAAACTTTCTAAAAGCTCAATCCCCAATCAGCCCTTGCAGGGACTCTGATGTTACAGGAGCGTATAACTTTAAAGCCACCAAAAAAAATCACTGACAAAAGGGATGCAGCAAAAAAATCATAATTAAGCTCTAGCTGAGGGTAACCACAGTGAAGGAGAGAGCAGATAATCATCTCTCCCAAATCCAGGAACATTGCCACAGGTTGTAACCTCAGGTCAACCTCATAAAAGTCTTTAAGACCAATTTCTCCCTCCCGTGGAATATCGCATGGAGGCAGTTTTGGGATGTGTGAAATCCATACAGTAAACAAATATGTATAAAAAAGGAATTGGAGGAAAATAAAGTGATTGGTAGAGAACTGACACAGAGTATCTGTAGTGTTTTCCTACCATCTCCAAGGGCTTTTAGCACCTCCAGAAAATTTCCTGCACCTCAAGGGGAATTACAGTGTAATAAAATGTTAAAGCATCACAGTTTTGAGTGGCTACACAGTAAGTTCTTCACCAAACCGAAAAGTTCTGGCACTTCAAAATGACACCATTGCACCACAGCTCAGCTGCAGCCCCTGGACCTGCCACATGCAGGATCCACAGAATCCCAGAATCCCAGGCTTGGGTGGGAAGGGACCTTAAAGACCACCCTGTGGGCAGGGACACCTTCCACTATCCCAGGTTGCCCCAAGCCCTATTCAACCTGACCCAGGACACTTCCAGGGATGGGGCAGCCACAGTTCCTCTTGCCAAGCTCTCTGTTCCCCTGGAAGGAGAGGTTAACACCTCACAGCTAATCTGGGAGAGCAGCGTCTGCTCCAGTCCTGCTGAGGCAACAGACCTGGAATTCTGGCTCTTCCCTCTAGCCCAGGCAGCACATTTGAGAGCAACAAGAGGCAGGTGTGCAGTGCAGGAGCGTGGACTGAATTCCCTGACCTGGGATCTCTGGAGCCACTTGTTTTTTTGGGGCACATAAATTTTGAGGTCTGATCTCTCAGTGTCACCGAGAAAACAACATGCAGCACAGAGGGACATGGTCTGAAGTTGTGCCAGGGGAGGTTTAGGTTAGATATTAGAAAGAATTTCTTTACAGAGAGGGTAATCAACCATTGGAATGGGCTGCCCAGGGAAGTAGTGGATTCTTCATCCCTGGAGGTTTTTAAGAAGAGACTGGATGTGGCACTTAGCGCCATGGTCTAGCAACCACAGTGGTAGTGGATCAAGCGTTGGACTTGATGATCTTGGAGGTCCCTTCCAACCCAGCTGATTCTATAATTCTATGATTCTCATTCAAGGCTCTATGATCCCACTCCACATAACTGAGTGACAGGATGGGTGTCCTGGATGTCAGGGGGACACTGGATTAGCCAAGGGAACCCCATTAATTTTGCCCAGAGTTGGCTTTCAAAGCTGGGAAACATCACACTCCATGATAGACTCAGGGCACAATCTCTCCACGGTGTTTCTTAGGACACGATCTTCTTTTTTTTTGTTATAAAAATTATATCCTAGTTCCAATTCCCCCTCCTCCAAAGGCAGCTTCACAGCCTCATAGAGTGGGAAGCGGGAGGGGTTTGGATGTACTGAGAGCACACTCTGCCGTCAGCGCCTCCCGGCAGCGATCCCAGTTGTCAGGGGAACCTCAGGGACCAGGATCAGCCACGGAAAGCTCACCCTCCCTGGCAATAAGGTCAGCGTCGATCACGGCACAGCCCAGCTCCTGCAGCATGGCCACCACCATGCTCTTCCCCGATGCAATTCCACCCGAGAGTCCCACTGGGAACATCATGCTCTGAAAGGGGAAAGAAAGGAGCTGGAAAATGTGCCAGGACAGGGCTCTTTTTTTATGCTGGGCACAGCAAATATTTAGCCCAAAACAGGTGGCTTCATTCGAAGTTCATTCTCTCTGGGTATTACTGAGACATCGGCAGGATTTTGGCACCCTCTGGTCTGGGAATCCCTGTTTCACAGGCTGCAGGATAGTGCTGGGTTAAACGAGGCTTCCCTGGACCTCCCTAACTCTGGATGTGCCACTTGAGCCAGCCCTCAGTTCTTCCAGCTGGTTTATCTGCAGCTGCAGCAACTCGTTCCCCTTTAGCACCTGCACCCACCAAACCACAGTCTCACCTACAGCACCATAAACCATGGAATCATGGAACGGTTTGGGTTGGAAGGGACATTAAAGCCCATCCATTCCCACCCCCTGCCATGGGCAGGGACACCTTCCTCTAACCCAGGTTGTCCAAGCCATCCAACCTGGCCTTGGACACTTCCAGGGATCCAGGGGCAGTCACTGCTTCTCTGGAAAATCCATTCCGCCTCGGTGACGCCGGGAAGAGCCGAAGAGGGGGAGTAGACGGGACTCTCCTAATGTGGCAGGGCGGCAGCCGACTGGGCTCGGCAGCGGGGGAGCCGGTGGGTACAGCTGCTCTCCGAGCCCAGCGGGTAGACCTGGTGGCCGGGTTAGACGGGTAGACCTGTTGTCCAAGCCCAGTGGGTAGACCTGGTGGCCGAGCCCGGCGGGTAGACCTGGCGGCCCGGTTTTTCGGGTAGACCTGGTGTCCCAGTTTTTCGGGTCGACCCGTTTTCCCACTCAGGCGTGGCCGACCTCGTGCCCCGCCGGGTGCTGGCGAGCATCAGGTCTACCCGGTTCCGGGGCTTGCGAGCATCAGGTCTACCTGGTTCCGGGGCCGGTCGATGCGGCCGCCATGGCCGCCGCTGGCGGCCTGCGCCCCGGCAGCGTCCCGGCGCAGGGAATCCGCTAAGGAGTGTGTAACAACTCACCTGCCGAATCAACTAGCCCTGAAAATGGATGGCGCTGGAGCGTCCGGCCCATACCCGGCCGTTGCCAGCAATGCGGAGCCCCCCCCTTCCCTCGCGGGGGGGGGGGCGGGAGGCTAGGCCACAACGAGTAGGAGGACCGCTGCGGTGAGCCTCGAAGCCTGGGGCGCGGGCCCGGGTGGAGCCGCCGCAGGTGCAGATCTTGGTGGTAGTAGCAAATATTCAAACGAGAGCTTTGAAGGCCGAAGTGGAGCAGGGTTCCATGTGAACAGCAGTTGAACATGGGTCAGTCGGTCCTAAGCGATAGGCGAGCGCCGTTCCGAAAGGGCGGGTGATGGCCTCCGTTGCCCTCAGCCGATCGAAAGGGAGTCGGGTTCAGATCCCCGAATCCGGAGTGGCGGAGACGGGCGCTGCGAGGCGCCCAGTGCGGTGACGCAACCGATCCCGGAGAAGCCGGCGGGAGCCCCGGGGAGAGTTCTCTTTTCTTTGTGAAGGGCCGGGCGCCCTGGAATGGGTTCGCCCCGAGAGAGGGGCCCGCGCCTTGGAAAGCGTCACGGTTCCGGCGGCGTCCGGTGAGCTCTCGCTGGCCCGTGAAAATCCGGGGGAGAGGGTGTAAGTCTCGCGCCGGGCCGTACCCATATCCGCAGCAGGTCTCCAAGGTGAACAGCCTCTGGCATGTTGGACCAATGTAGGTAGGGGAAGTCGGCAAGCCGGATCCGTAACTTCGGGATAAGGATTGGCTCTAAGGGCTGGGTCGGTCGGGCTGGGGCGCGAAGCGGGGCTGGGCGCGCGCCGCGGCTGGACGAGGCGCCGCGCGCGGGTGTGTGCGGCGCCCCGCGCCCGCCCGGGCGCGGCGGCCCGCGCGGGCCGGCGCGCGGCGGCGACTCTGGACGCGCGCCGGGCCCTTCCCGTGGATCGCCCCAGCTGCGGCGGGCGCCGCCCGCCCCCCCCTCCGCCCGCCCTCCGCCCGGCCGTGGCCGGCGCCCCTACGAGTCATTAATACCTGACTCAGTCAGAGATAATGACAACAATATCTCTGACAATGACAATGAAAGCAACAGAGGTGAGGATGATTCATTTATTCTCACAACTGAATCCATCCCAGACTCCCAGAAAGACCAAACGCCAGATGAAATACCACTGGTGAAACTACCGGACAAAAATCCATCCTGTCCGTGTTGTAAGATTAAAATATCGGGAGTACAGAGGCTTGTAGACCACCTTCTTAGACTACATGGGAAAAGAAAGATCATTTTCCAATGCAATAAATGTGGTCTGCAAAGTGACAATTATCGCTCTACTGTTTGTCACTATCCATTGTGCAAGGGCCCCAAAGGGATGGTTACACCTGGAAAATGGATTTGTGAGGAGTGTGAAAGGAGCTTCCAATCTAAAATTGGCCTGGGACAGCATAAAAGGCTGAGTCACCCAGAAGTCAGAAATCAGGAAAGAATTGCTGCTACTCGCCCTAAAGCGAAAACAGCTCGAAAATCAGCTCGTAAGTGTTGGTCAAAGGAAGAGGAAGAACTGTTGGAGACACTGCTAAAAAGATATGAGGGAGAAAGATACATCAATAAACTAATCGCTGAGCATATTCCATCTAAGACAATGAAACAGATCAGCGATAAAAGGCGGTATATGATCCCTGTACAAAAAGAAAGGGAAGACCAGAAAGTATACGTACAGGTAGAGAACAGAAAGGAACAACCAGCAAATATAGATCCATCAATCCCGGATCGATTGAGGGCACATTATGTAGCAAAAATTGAAAAAGGGATAAGAACAAGAAAGATAAATAACTATCCAAGGGCATTCCAGAAAGTTGTTGAGGGGACAGCAGACATCCATGCATTAATTAACGATATAACAGAAGAATGGTATGGACACCTAGAAGCAGAGGCTAGATGTCGAGCAGAGGAAGCATCAAATAAGAAACCAAAGAGAGGCCAGAACCAGGATACGCAAAGTAAGAGAAAAGCAACAAAATGGATGAAAAAGAGAGCAATTAAAAGGGGACAATATTTGAGATTCCAAAAATTATTTTACAAAGACAGAGGGAAATTGGCACGAATAATTCTTGATAATATAGAATCTGTGAAATGTGAAATACCACTCCCAGAGATACACTCTGTATTTAAATCAAGATGGGAAACAACCGGCGGGTTTAAAGGCCTTGGAAAGTTTCGATCTGAGGGAATGGCGGACAATAACGCCTTTAAGGCAATGATTACAGAAAAAGAAATTACTAAAAACATCAATGAGATCAATAAAAAGGCAGCACCTGGACCGGATGGGATTACTATAAAAGACCTAACTAAAATGGATCCCAAATATTCGGAAACTGCAGAAATCTTTAACTTATGGTTAACATCTGGGAAGATACCAGACATGATAAGGGGATGTCGTACTATACTACTACCTAAATCGACTAAGCCAGACCGTCTTAAAGACATCAATAACTGGAGACCCATTACCATCGGGTCTGTGCTATTAAGGCTATTCTCAAGAATACTGACGGCTAGGCTAGAAAAGGCATGCCCCATAAACCCTAGACAGAGGGGTTTTATAAGATCACCAGGCTGCTCTGAAAACTTAAAACTGTTACAACTTCTTATTAAGAATGCTAAAAGAGAACACAAAGAACTGGGAGTGGTGTTTGTTGACATCGCTAAGGCTTTCGATACAGTAAGCCACGAACACATTATCGCAGGTTTAAAACAAAAAGGGGTAGATGCTCACATCATTGATTTGATTAAAAATATGTATGAGAATAGTTATACTCAAATTGGCACTAAAAACGAGCAATCTGACCCAATTCAAATAAAGGTAGGAGTCAAACAAG